GCTTCCATATGACAAGCAATTAATAAGACTGGAACTTTTCATCCTGGAAAAGAGACGACTAAGGGGAGGGAAGATATGATAGAGGTTTATAGAATCATGACTGGTGTGGAGAAAGTAAATAAGGAAGTGTTACTTACTCCTTCTCATTACACAAGAACTAAGGGTCACCAAATGAAATTAATTGGCAGCAGGTTTAAAACTAACAAAACGAAATATTTCTTCACACAATGCAGTCAACCTGTGGAACTCTTTGCCAGAGGATGTTGTGAAGGCCAAGACTATAACAAGGTTAAAAAAAGAATTAGATAAATCCATGGAGGACAGGTCCATCAATGGCTATTAGTCACGATGGGCAGGGATGCAAAACCATACACTGAAGTGACCCTAGCTTCTGTTTGCAAGAAGCTGGGAATGGGTGACAGGGGATGGATCACTTGATGGTTACCTGTTCTGTACATTCCCTCTGAAGCACCTGCCATTGGCCACAGTCAGAAGACAGGATACTAGGCTAGATGGACCATTGGTCTGACCCAGTATGGCCATTCTTATGTCCTAGGTCTTATATAGTTTGCAACAAAATGTCTAGAAAAACCCAAGTGATGAAGCACTAATTATGGTTGAGTTCAGTTTCAATATGGTGTTTAAGTTTTGTTTAGTTATCTTTAAAATTCATGAAATCCAAACCCTCTTTCTCACACTCTGCTCAGTATCTCTTAAGACATTATTAATAGGATTAACACTTAAGTTGAACACAGGACCACAGACCACATGCCTTACTCAAAAGTACTTAGCCCCTCAAAAAGCAGTTCTTGTCTTGCCCACATACAATTGCTATATTCACATATGGCCTATTCTCTTCCTCTGGTAGTCAGGGACTCTTATGGTGGTTTCTTCTGGACAATGTTCTCTAGAGCATTCCATTTGGTTCTTTGACTGCTCCGTTAGACTTAGTGATAGATGTATCCAACTTGGGTTAAGTTGTTTGGGTGCTAAAGCCTCCTTTAAAGGTCTTACCGTGGCTCAAGAAATAAAAACCACTGAATAGATTCAAGGAGAATTCCCCTCCCTTGTGTATTTAAGGCAATAGGCATGCTGAACCATTAAAGTCATAAGGCAGATTCTCAGCTGGTGTAAACTGACATAGCTCCATTGAATGCAACTATGACAATCTGCATCAGCTAAATAGGTGCACCATTATGCTACTAAAAAGCAGCAGATGTCTTAACCCAGATCCCACCTCAACATTCACTATGGAAGAGACCCAAGCCCTCCAGAGGTGCAGACCTTTAACTTAAAACAAACAAAAAAACTAGCACTAAAGCAATCATTACCATAAAACTACTACCTAAACTATTGTTGAAACTTTAAACTAAACCTATTAACCAAAACTTATAAAAATCTATACCTTAATGAGTCTGAAGTTCCATGGCTGAATTTGCTAACAAAGAAATTAATACAATTTTGGGGGGAGACAGGATGACAAAAATCTTACGCTCTCTGTTCAAAAATTTTGGATCTGTGGAAAGTCACAAAGTCAGGCCCCTAATGATTTTACTGTTGTCAGTGGTTTCATAACTTGCAACTAAAAGCATGTGACTTACTGTAGAGAAATCAGGAAGATCTGCAGAGGCAATTTCATGAGAGAGATGGGTTACGAGGGAACCATGAAGAACAGCTTAGTTGCATATGTCAAGGTACACATGGGCCAATGGTATATAGCTCTGAAATGGGATGTTTTAGATACAATATGTGGCTCCCAGAGTGGGAATCAGCAGAGGCAAATTTATGAAAAATATGGATATACAGCACAATACTAGTCCTGAGTTATCCAGTCTCCCCAAAGGTCAATTTAAAAATAAAGGGAAAAAAAAGTGATCAGAACTAGCTTGATCCAAGTAAACAAAACAATGCTGTATCAGTACCAAAAAAAGCAATGCTACAGAAGCCAACATACCACTGCAGACTGCCATACATTCTTAGCGCAAAATAGGAATTCTATGTTATCATAATTTACAATTAGCACTGCCAAGAAATGTCTCAAGCATTCATAAACACCAGGTGAACTACTGCGTATACAGTATTCATGGAGGTTATGGATAAAAATAACAATTGATAGATTGTCTACATGTTATAAAGTGAGATGGAAGAAGCAGCATCTCTCAAACCAGCTCTTGCCATCTCTAGTACTACAGTTTAAATATGATGCTGTCATGTGCCATCTGTGACATACAGATGCTTAATGTGAGAAACTGCATTTAGCTAAGCAAAATAGTGCGCATCCTATTACAGTATGAACACTCTTGGCAGTGACTAAAAGTAACTTGTCTTAATACAATTCTTAAGAGATTACACTAAATTATATGACCCTTGAAGATTAAAATTCTCTTTGATTAGTACTGAGTTCATCACATTTTTGCCACTTCTTTTAAAGATACAATAATCATTTAACTAGAGAGAACAGATATCTACTGCAAATTAACTTCACTCTGTCATTGACAAACACAAGAATAACCAACCGTGTATTTTGCCGAGGGAAGTACAAAACATTATGGCAAAATCCACACACAACTGATGATTGTACAAGTCCATTTCTGAGGTTTGCTAACTGTCTGAGAACGAAGAGAACATCTGCTACAAAAATTTTGATGTATTAAAAGTGCACTCACATTCAGGTCTAACAACTGGGAACCAAATGTCCAAGACCTATGGCCAACTGTCACATTTTTTTAAATTAAAGATTAAGAAATTACACTGGTGGAATTATTTAATGTTTTCTTAATTACATTTAATTAATTCTGATACTAAATATGCTTTTCATATAAAAATTTAATGCCCAGCAGAGGAGGGGGAAAAAAAGACAATTCTCTCTTCCCTTTGATTATAAAAATACAGTTTACTAGCTACTGTATCTTGAAAGTATCCAAGTGACTGAAAATATTGCTAGTACTAATGCAGTGATAAGGCTTGATTATCTGTTTCAATTAACACCTATTTACTGGCACAGAACAAGCCATTTTCTGATTACATACAGCTAAAAATGTAAGCTAGGTCACTAATTTAATTCTCCAATTTTCTTTGCATCAGTGTAGTTGCACCAATGTAACTGCATCATTTCAAACCCACAGTGTAGATGCACAGCACTCATGTAAATTATGACTTGCACTGGTACAGCATACCCCAGTTTCCAACTGTGGTATTCATCTCCACTAGGGTCTTGTACTAAGGTAACGCTACACCAGTGGGAAAACCTTCAACACAAGACAGCATAGAGGTGTACCTCTTCTGTGGACACTGTCAAATTACAACAGGTGATCCCAAAAGATATCCAATATTCTGCAAATCCCAAATTTTCCTTACACAACCTCAGCCCATTCAGCAGTTGGCCTCCAAAATCAGTCTTCAAAGCCCTTGGACCAACCTCATCTCTGGATTAACTTCGCTGACTTTAGCTGAGTTACACCAGGACTGAATATGGCCCATTAATCCAGCCTGAATTCAGTGGTTTTCAACAGAACTGCAAATGGGTGTTTTCTTTTAAATCATGGTACTTCCCCTATAACTTTAGAATTCATAATATGAACTCAGCCTTCCAGACAAGACTTTAAGAATGTCCACTTTCAAGCATGGAAATCTCACTTTTACTTTCTATTGTATGATAGGTACAAACTTCCCCGACAACATGTTTTGATCACCCACAACCAACAATATTTCTGGGAGTGAAATAAAGTCCTTACAGAGGATTCAGGTATAACATCTGAGTTTTTTTGTAGTGTGTGTCATTCGATGCAAATGGATTTGAAAGGATTTAAAACAGCTTTGTGAGTCAGGGATAAAAGTCACCCCTGGCAGTGAAGCTTTGTCATTTAACTCTTTGTTGGATAAATGCAAAATGCAGTTTACCATATCTACACTGATTTTCTTCTAGTGTGTGTGTGTGTGAGATATATATATATATATATATATATATATATAGTAGGCATCTCTAT